AAACATTTAATTATTTCAAAGATATGGGAAAAATAAAAAAATTATTGTTTCTTGAATTTTCTTGTACTAATTATTCCACTACCTTTCATAATCCTGAAAGTAAATTCAATGAATCTTGCTAAGATCCAAACTTCATTTTTCAAATTTGATTATATAAACATAATGCGATATATAATATTTGAAACTATATGTAAACAAAGAAGATAATAGTAAAGTATGAGCAATAACTTTCCATAATATCTAATAAAAGTAACGTAATAGAATATTTGTCTCTTAACTCATAGTATTCATTGTATATAAATTTTCTGAAAATATTTTTTAAACATCTTATCCTTTTTAAAAATATTTTTATAAGATACCCATAACATTTTAAGAATTTTCTTATACCATATACGTTGTGTACTTTGCCACATTTTTTCATGAACTGTAATAAAGAGATGAAACATTAACTAATTTATATATTAATGCAGAGTAATTAATAAATAATGAACATTAGAAACCTTACATGTTAATAAAATTTTTAAAATATACTTTGTAATTTTTATATTACTATTTTTAATAATTATAAATATCCTCCTAGCATTCTGCTGAACGTCATTAAATAATTGTCTTCTTAAAGCTTGTGTACGTTTGGCTTGTAGTAAACATGCTTGTTGCAATATTTTTGTTACAGTTTTTTTAGTATTAACATGACTGTCTAAGACAACTTTTGATAACTTTAAACATGGCATACTACAAACCCGCTTTTCAAAACATCTAAAGAAATTAATAGTTTATAATTTATGAAAAACAATATATTGAAAGTTTATAAAGGAATCACTTACTTCATGACTGTTAAATTATTTTTTATGGATAATCTCGCAATATATTGTAAACGTGTATTCGTATATTTAGGTTCTACTTCTAAAGTATCACAATTAATGTTATAACCAATATAAGTAATTGTATTTGTACTGTTTGCAATATTGCTTTGTGTTTTTAATTTTTTAAAGTAACAATTGTATTGTGGAATACCTTCTTGCACAAATTGTAAAAATCTGTTAGATAAAGTATATAGATTAATAATTTACATATCATTTGGATATGTTTTTTAGATTTAGATATTGAGAAGTTTCATATCTTACTGTTTTGCAAACACTTCGTTATCAGTAATATATAAAATATCATCTACATATCTTATAATTTCACCACGATTTGTAAATAATGTCATTTGTTTTTGAAGCACAAAATTGTAATATATCTCTGATAAAATAGGTGACAACATTGTACCCTGAACTACTCCTTTGCCTATAATGTATGTTTGTTTACCTACTTGTACCTACAATCAAAGTATTAATATTTTACAACTATATAAATTAAATAAAATTGTAAATATTTAAGTACTCGTGTAAACGTGTATTATTTAAATTTTATAATATTAACAATATACCCTTTGATGAAAGATATATTTCCGAATTCTTTGTAGCAGCCACCTTTTCTGCATTCTTAATGAATTGCTATGACTTGTACGTGCATATAGTGTACCAGCTGATAAAGGTAATTGTAAATTTCCATTTGAAAAATATTCTTTATAACACAAAGTGTTATTATCTATAGACTTCCCAGCACTTTTAACTGCATAGGTGCTGATTAGTAAAACTTTAGGAAGATTTTTAGAAAGCGATCGTATAATATTATACAAGTGCCCTAAATGTTAAAGTATAATTTTAACGTATATTCGTTATAACGTTACCAAGACTATTAATTATATATTTATTTAATAGTAGTTAAAATAACTGTACCATTACTAATTTTTCTAATAATATTATTTATCGAGTAATATTATACTGAAAATGTTTAGTATCAGGAAAGTCATACCCTGTATTATTGAACCAAATGCATCCTTTACATCAGAAGATATAAGATAGAATTTTTTAGTTTTTGAAGTATGTTTGAGTTTCATAACTGATTTCCATTTTTCTTGAAAACTAGTTTCTCCATACTCTGTAATTTGTAACTGCTTTAGAAACTTGAAAACTATACGAATATCACTTTTATCTTTTTCTTTATACCTGACGAGTAATAAATTACAATAAAATATATATAAATTCTGCTCTTCTTTTAGTAAATTGCAGTAAAAATATTCGACTTACTTAGATAGAAATATGGGACGTACACTAGAACCTTTGGGACGTAACATAAAGGTTCCTATTGGTGGAGTCCATTGTTTATATTTAACTTCAGGTTGCAAAGCATTTGAAAGTATCTTTTTTTTAATAAATTGTCTTTGAACAGAGCACCAATTTGAACGTGTAATATATAATCTTTGATAATTGCGTGTAGATACTGTTGTTACGTGAAACTGAATACATAATATTTTTATAAGAAATCCAGTAAAGAACCATTTAATAAATTTTGCTAAAACGAGCCACTGTGTCTTTAAAGTTTGTAAGTTCTTTAACCAGGCAATACTAGAAATCTAAAATATATAAATTATAGGATTAACTTTAGTTTGCTAATACAGAAGATAACATCATAAAAATAAGTAGATTACGTACGTCTAGTTTCAAAATAAGAGGCAACAAATCAAAAGATTTAAAACGTGGTGTAATTAAAAGATGAGACATGGCTTTTCTTACTTTTTTTAGATTTGTCAATTTTCCAAATAAGCCTAAAGGGACTACGTTAGCAAAAATAAAATTAAAGAATGATCTTAAATGCTTTATAGGAATTTCATGTATGCAATTTGATTTCTCATTAAATTTTAGATCTTGGGTCAATTGTTTGAAAACCCTATTGTAATGAAAATTTTTATGTCTCTTCTGAAGTTGTTGCAAAAGAGGAACAATAAACGGAACAGAAGATTCATAATTGGAAATGTTAACTTTTTTCAAAACGTTTTGTATAATAAATTCATATATCTCATTTCCAGTTTTTGCTGTATTTAGAATATAATCTTTTGGAGCAGTATGGATTGTATAACTAGGTACAATGGGAGATGTATCATATACGTAAATTTGTAAAGATAAATCGATGAAAAATGCATTAGGCAACATATCTTTGGATTTTTTACGAAATACATGTTCCTCTTTTTGCTTATGTAATCCTAAAAAATAATAATCTTGTATGTGAACTTGTTTAATATCTCCAAATTTGAGAGTTAGAGAAATTATATTTTATAATAAATTTATATTATAATAAATAGATATTTCTATTATAAAACATGAAAATATAGTACTTTTCTTATGTTCCTTATTTTCTTTATTAGAATAATTTTTATTATCTTTAGGCTTCAAAGGTGGTTTAAGCCTCTCTATTTTTCTTAGTCTTTTGTTTATTTGAAGCTTTATGTGATCAAGAACATCTATACATTCTGTCAGAACATCAGCATTAGGTGCCATATAAGTACCACACTTATCTTGTTTTAATATTATTTTATGACGTTCACAGTATCTAATTAAACAGCAGAGAACACGATTTAAAATATTAAAGAATAAAATATATAAAAATGATAATTATAACAAAAATCCAAACATACTGTTGAAAATTTGTACCAAAGGCTTGTTTTACACTTTTTGAAGTACGTTTATCCATTATCAATATTTTTTTTATGAAAATAAAATATTCAATTTTAATATTATTTAAAAAAGGTTTCTCAGCGGTATCTGTCTACGACACAAACGCTAATCTTAAATACCGGTACTGTACTAGACGCCTCAATTGAAAGAAAATCCTTGTATACCTGCATCTAAAATTTTGACGCGGTCTGTACAAATTAAAGGGTAGGTTTTATGAATACCTTAATATTTATAAATTCAGAAATTTTATTGCATCACATATATAACATTGTCAACCCTTTTTGTAAACAAAATATATTAAAGTAGTATTTTCAACATTAAATGTTACATTTATGAAAATTTGTACGAAAATTTTCAAAATTTTTACACAAATTTCATTTCTGTTATTAACATTAAATCAGTAGTTTTTAAATGGCATTTATTTATACATCAAATTTACTGTAACCATTGATTTTAAAAATATTTATTTCCGTACTTATATAAGATCTTTAATCATCTTTGTATAAATTAAATAAATATTACTACTCGTTTAACTTAAAACCTGTATAATTGTAAAATTCGCATTAAAATATAAACTGCAAATTTATTACAACAAATCTCTTTTATAGAATATAGATAATATACATGTGTTTTTCATTTGTATAATTTTAATTATATCAAAAGCTTGGCTATCAGAATTCGTGAAAAATTTTCGAGATATTTAAATGTCTTGTTTACATGATACAATTCTCAAGTAATCAATTTTACTTTTGTTACAATTCGATATTACTTTATGCACATGGATTGTTTATAAATGCATAATCGTTACAACGATATAATTATAAAACTGAAATAAAACTATTATTCGAGAAAACATAAATAACAGCCTGTTAACAACTGCCATTCACAGACAAGACAGAAAATTCAAATAAAGTAGGAATGACATCGAAGCATGCAAATGTAATTTTTCTTTAACACCGAATTGGTACGCAATGGAAAGAATTCGTTTGTGTCGTTGAGGGAGTTGGTAAACCTGGGAAATAGCGAAGACCACATGGAAAAGAAGAAATTGCAAAGGGGCAGAGGGGACGATAGATCAGAAGCGCCACAAAACGGTGTTGCGGATGTTTCATAAAACACTCGGCATGGATCGAGCTCCATGTTCGCCCGTGAAAGTGATGCGGTATCTCCGCGATTAGGGGATACAAATCTTGTATCTAGTGAAAGGACGTTAAATAGTTTCTATGCATTATTTCGTGAATCGATAGGTGGAATCGCTTATTCCGGTGGCAGTAAGGTTAGTTCAAGGGTGTGTAATCTTCACGCGTGTCGGAAAGTAGCGTGGCGAAGCGATACTTGGTTCCACTGCAGTAGTGTAAGAGGAAAACTTTGGGAAAGCCGCTCACGGCGGTGCGAGGTAGTAAGATTCAATCGGGGATACATATCAAAACCGGAAATAGTAAGAACAACATTAAGGACGGAACCAAAAATAACGTTCAAAGTGTTGGTGGCAACAGCAACAGTGACGGCAACGACAGCGGTGGCGCAAGGTGTGAGGACGAGGTGAATGCACGGCGGCCGCGGTGTGTGCCAGTGGTGTGCGCGCTCGTCGCTCGTGGAAACCCGCCAAAACCCGCGGCCGCGAACAACCACCAGCAAAAGCAGCAGCAATAGCAACAACAACAGCAGTAGAAGGAAAAGGAGGAGGAGGAGAAGGAGGAGAAGGAGGAGAAGGTGGAACAGCATTAGCAATAGTAGTAGTAGTAGTAGTAGTGGTAGCAGCAGCAGCAGCAGCAGCAGCAGCGGTGGCAGGAGTAGCAGTAGCGCGCGACGTTGTGCTGTTTTGACAACTTTCCGCCGCGTCGGGGCGTCGCGCCGTTTTTTTCGCGGCGGCGGCGGCAACAGCAGAAACAACGACAACAGTACCGGCAACAACTTATTTTAAAGAGGTTGCTCGTAACAGCGGTAACGGCGGCGACGCTGCTGACCCCTCAGCTCACACGACGACGACAGTAGTGGCGGCGGCTGCTGCGTTCTGTTATTATTTTGCCGCGGTGCTTTTGACCCTTCGAACCGGGCGAGTTCATTGCAGCGCTTTCGCGGGGGTGTTAGCCAGTTTTATTACTCCGGCCTTCTCCGTCCGCAGCAGCAGCGCCGACGGCGCCAGAACACGATCTGGTATATGCAGCATGTCTACTAGTGTACGTACTCGATCGCACCAATAATCGGACACGTTGAATCGCCTATTCGCTGGCCGAGAACCCGCCGACAGGATCTGAACACTGACCTTCGGTATATATCTTTAACCAGTCGATCGGAAAGGACTATATCAGTAACGTCGCAACTGGGAAAGGACGCGACGAACCACGTGATATACCTGTCGTTGGACCGCGTCATGCAAAGCATGCTCGACTCCCCAATGGCCATAACCTGAATTCAGCCGATTTGACCCGATTAAACCCGATTCAGCGTATTCGTACATGAACTATCAAGCGAACGCACGAATGATAGAAAACAAACGGTAGCCATTGACATTTTTCGTCGTTCCCTCATGCTCGCGCATTGTATGCCGTGGGCTCTCGTGTCGTATGAAATACGCGCTGTAACGTTTCCCGACAAAGACTTCGACGTTCGACGCGTGTCAGAAGTGTGCTGCGTTTCGACGACCAATATCTGACGAGGAGTGAAGGAAATTTCAATAGGAAAAACGGTCAGCTTGCTTCCTTGTAACAGGTGATTTAGACGGACAAACGGACGGAATGATCGTGATACACCTGCTATTTCTCGTTCGTTCAGTGTCTCCTTGTACCGGTGGTGACTCGAAATAATTGTGCTGTGGTGTACTGTGCACGTAGTGTCATTGATACAGTGTCGGTACAGTGTCAACCGTTACGTGTAATTGTCTGAAGGTGGTGGCGTGGGAGTCCGACATTTTAACCGTTCGTATTCACGAAAAGATACAAGTGTCCACGTGTGAAATACCGTCGGTACTTCAGGGGCGTGGGGATCATACGTTGAGCTTACATTTACGGGAAATCCACTCAGTGTTCCCCGCGGATAGGAATTTTATCAGGCGTGCGGTTAATATTTCATTTCATGGTCACGATCTGTTTATTTTTCCCATTATCGCGACCACACTGTTGATTGCTAAAGGGAAAGGTGTCAAGTACATCCTTTGCTACGTTTAAAGAATTTTAAGAGAGGATAAACAATGGGAATTGTGTGTTAACGTTGATCGAGGGAAAGGGAAAATACAGATTTTTTTAACGCGATTCGTGTACTGACAGTTCAACGGAATTATCCAAATAATATACTTTTATCAGTGCTTTGTACTGTCTTGTGAAGTGTGTTTGACAGTACATGATCGAGCGCGTGACAATGAAAAATACCTGGTGAGTCGAAATTTTCCTACGTAATTTTTACATTTGTACATGGTCATTTGTTCTTGTAATGCATATATTTTAAACAGTTATTCGAGACAAAGAGAAGGAGAGAGAAAGAAAAGAAAAC